CATAAATCAAATTCATGCTCACATTATACATATCTTATTTATCATTCTACATTTTCTATATAGCTTCTCCCCTTTTTTTACTCTCTTAATTCTATCTTATTTATTTCATCTCAATTTAAATCATTATGCTTGTATCATTTGTCTGTTCTATTTCAATTATCTAATTATCTTTTCTCATTAACACAAAATTTTTCCTGTAATCACTGATTGAAGTATTATGCCTTTATATTTTTCCCCTAAATTTAACACTTAAAATAATATAGTTTCCATTCTGATTCTGCTTAGTACATTCTAAAGCTACATACTATATTTTAAAATAGGAAAATGGTAAGTTTATAATATAATTAAATCAATAATCCATAGCAAATTAAACTATCATTAAATCTTAAGCATTTTACACATTCCTTTTAATATTTTATCCCATTTTATAATCATATAGTGTTCCAGTTTTCTAACATTATTTCAAATACAAATACGACAATACAGTCTTATGTACTTTTGCAGAATCTCTTTTAAAACTATATTTTTACCCATTATCTCTGAATAAATCCTGCTTCTTTACATCTTGTTTCAAACCTTTGTAACTTCTCTTCCTTTTTTCCCCTCCTTTCTTCTCCAGTCTAGCCTTTTTACCCACCCCATCTCTTGATCTCCACCCTCTTAATCTCCACCCTCTTCTGTATTCCTCTTTTCTGTTGCTTTCTGACATTGTATCAATTTTTCCCTTTTTTGGTTGTTTTTTTAAATCTTAAATTCTCTTTCCCCTCTTTCCCTTTTCTTCCCCAACTAAAGTTGTTTGTTCATTAAAGATGGCTTCTTCTTCATCATCCAAGCTTTCTTGTTCTTGTAATTGCTGATAGGTAGAAATCGCCATTTCTACAAAATGAAAAACAGATCCAGAAGAGCCCTTCCCTTCTTGTTCCTCTTATTTTAGCCTTTTGAATTCCATTTTCAGTTCATCAACAAGTAATGCCATTGTAAGAATTTTTTTTAAACAACCCAAATGTTTTTAATCATTCAAATAATAATTTCCCAAAGTCCCAAAGTCCCCAAACAGTCCAAATACACACAGGCTATTTCATTTAACACTTTCTTCTTTTTTTCACTTTCTCTTCCTGGGGTTACAATTCAGTTACAAAATACCAATTAAAATGTATCTTTTAGAAGTCTTGTTACAATTTAGCTCTAGTCTCTTAAGTTCCAAGCAGCCTCCTCCAGCAAACTCTTAATCTTAATTCTTTTCCTCTCCCTTCCCACTTACAGCAAAAAAAAATTTTTTTTTCAGTGTTCAGAAATCTTTATTGTCCCCTTGGCTTTAATTTTCCAGTTTAATTACCTGCTGATGCCAAAGCAGGTTTTTCCAATTTCTCATTCATCTGCTGTCACCGTAAGGAAGGAGAGTGAGAAAAAAAAAACTTTCCCTTTTCACTTTCATTCGCTGCTTCCAGATCTTCTTTGGGAACGATGTATCTTTGATAAAATTAAAATTCCAGGGTATCTTGAATGTTGCTTGTTATCCCGGTCAACCAAAACTTTCCCTTTCTCAGCTTCCTCCTGCACATTCTTTTCCGGATGAGTGCTTCTTTGTGGAGGCCATTTCTGACCGCCGCTCTTACCGCTTTCGGAAAAGGGAGTTAAGCTAGCTGCGGAGGGGAGTTGCGATTCCCCCCGACCCCTGCCAGATCTCCCCTATCTTCAGCTACCTCTACGGGGTGGCTATAGTCCCAAAGCTGGCTGGCTCGGGGTACTCCAGCAGTGAGCGCAAGCAGAAATTGCGCATGATCGCGGTGATGGTGCTCCCACAACTTCCAAGGGCAAGCTGTTCCATTGGTAGATTGTTCTCACTGTCAGAAAGTTTCTCCTTATTTCCAGGCTGAATCTCTCCTTGTTCAGTTTCCATCCATTATTCCTTGTCCAGCCTTCAGGTGCTTTGGAGAATAGCTTGACCCCCTTCTTCCCTGTGGCAGCCCCTCAAATATTGGAAGATCGCTATCATGTCTCTCCTGGTCCTTCTCTTTACTAGACTAGCCAAGCCCAGTTCCTGCAACCGTTCATTGTATGTTTTAGCCTTCAGTCCCCTAATCATCCTGGTTGCTCTTCTCTGTATTTTTTCTAGAGTCTCAACATCTTTTTTATAATTTGGTGAAATCAAAGCTGTTGGGAAGGGAAGAGTACTTGGCAGGATAAATTTAAGACAAAAAAATAGTGCTTGTGAAAGCTCAGGAAGGCCTTCCTATACCTCTGGCTATGGCTAGGCATATACTTCAGAGAATTACTTTGGAGGTAGCTCCTTAAATGGATGTGGAGTAATTCAATGAAATCAGAATAGCCAGAAAGAAATGTCTGAAAACAGAAGGTCAGGAAAATGGTATAAACCTTAGAGCTGTAGACAAAGAAGGAAGGAACACATTTATTTTAGCTTGAAATGCCTTTTGCAGCTTGCTTATCCAAAAGAGCGAGTGAGCGAGCGAAAGAGACATATTATAAAACAGAATCTCTTCAGAATTTAGAAACCATTTTGCTGCCATAGACATGGTACAAGGCTAGAGTCGATCCACTTCCATCAATCCACAGTATCCAGGCATGGCAGCTGGGAGGAGCTGTCCAAACAAGTTGGTGCTGGATTTCTGCTGGGCTCTTCTTATCTTCTCAGGTGCATGTTATAATAGCCTGTTTGCCTTTCAAAGCTATAAGCAGTATGAGCCAAGCTGAAAGATGCTTACATCGTGTTATTTTGTTTGCAGTGCTATGCAAGCAACTTTGCAAGTGTTGTGAGATGTTGATTTTGCATGTTTCAGAAAACTAGGCAACAGCTGCTGAGCTGAGCATAAATTATAAGCAGGAAGATTACAAAAGAAGGACACAATACTCAGAAGTCACCAAACAATGATTGCAAGGTGGCAAAAATATGCTCCTTTGGTGTAAGTAAACTAATATATTTCCTTAGGCATCATTAAGCACTGAATCCTCAAGTGTTAAATAGTTATAAATCCATATTTAAACCTGTCCCAAAGCTTCAGTAAAAAGTGACAGATTGGACTCACTTCACAGAATCATAGAATTGGGAGGGGCCATCAAGCAAGTCCCTTGCTCAAAGCAAGAATCTAAATTAAAGCCACCCAGTGGCTGTGCAGCCTCTACTTGTGGTAGCTGGGGAGAAGACTTCTTTTACTTCTCTGGTTAACTGCCTCCCCTGTTAAACTACTCTTAAGTTAGGAAGATTTTTCTGACATCCAGTTGGATTCTCTTTTCCTGTAATTTAACTTAAAGCCATTATTCTATGACTTAAAGTTATGGAATGATGGATCAGAGGTCTTGACCTTCTTTGTGACACTCTTGCAGCTATTCAAAGAATGCTGTCATTATATGCAGCCTAACATTCATTTAACATAGAAGCTAAGTGCCAGCACAGCCTTTTGTGCTGTCGTGATGATTGGAAGCCAGATGAGTCTTTGGCTGAGAAAAAACTAAACCTAGCTCACAAAAGAACAACATTAAGATCCACTCCACCCAGGCATCTGCTGGGCTCAGTTGAGGTCCTGAGGGCAGGCACTTTTGTCATTCTAATTCTAGTCTGCCCTTTACAAAGATATTAATGGATACCCATTTCTGGGTATATGGAAAAATAGGTCAACATGGGTGGATGCATGGGGAAAATTGTATTTTGAGATGATCAAAGCTAGGAATAACCCCCAGGACTGTGCCAATTGTTCACCCAGGCAACTACTCTGTGTAGCCAATAAAATCTAAGTTTGTTTTCTTAAAGTTTTTTAAACATTTGTAAATAACGGAATGTCTTTTATTTTTCTTCTGAGAAATTGTTGCAGGGAAATCATTCTATATTTTATGGATGTGCGAAGGTTGTTTTTAAATTAGTTTATGATTCTCTTTCCTTAGTTTAGAGATTTATTAATCATATTACAATCAAACATGTTAGGCAATAAAAGAGCTGCATACCTGCCCAAACCAATATAATGAAGAACAAAGTCATCCCACTTGTGGTTAAAACAGCAAAGATCAATGGGCCACATTTTATAATTCCAAACATGGGCAGGGAGAGGAAAATTATTGAAAGGCGCTTCTTCCCTCAGCATATGAGGTGCATTTTCATGAAACAGGGCTGCAAAGATAGACATATGGCTTCATAAAAAATGAAAGTTGATAAATTGAACCACAGTATGCAGGTAATTGTATTTCTCCCTCTAAGGAGTTGAGAGCAGAAAAAATGCAGGTCTTCTCCTCTTCATAACTGTGTGTTGCAGTACTAGCCCTCATTTTTTCCAGTGCTATGTGCACTTAAGATTAAATCAGATTCATTGGTATAAATTCAGCCTGACCTGACACTTGTGCATTCTCCCGAAAACTGCACAGAACATCCCACGGGCATCACTGCATTCTGATTCTCCCTAGTAATCTCAGGCCTTTGATGTTCCCGGTTCCTAGAGCCTTTGAATCTACCTTAAGAGTCAGATCAGAGATTCGCTCTGCGAAAGGCAGCGTTGGCCTCCTTTCGTTTATTTTTTTCTCCTTCCATGATGTTTTCCTTCTGCCTATTTTTTTTTTTTTTTTGCACGCCAGGAATGTTTGTGGCTACTCCTCACACTGGATTGCCTATACAGTGAGGTGCCCCATGAGAGTAAGGACCTTAATTCAGCAGTTTGCATAGAAAGTGCTTCTCTGCTAGTGGAACATCTTGGCCCGCGCGAGACCAAACGCACATCGCCTCGGAATGCACTGGCTTTCTAATTTTATGAATGACTCTATTCATGCGGCCCCTCCTACCTTCCCCAAGTCCCACCCCTGGAATGTTTGGAAGTGCGCCACCGTTGCTATTGGCTGACAGGAGGTTCCCACTGGCCCTCCGCCCGGTAGGTGGGAGGGCCTGGGGAAAATATAAATACAGAAAGAAGGGAATAGCACTTGTAGGTACTGGAAGTAGCAGAAAAGGGGGTGTGCCAAGGTCCTGAGACCTTATAGAGGCAGAGCCTCAACGCTCAATTCTGTCTTGCTGGGAGTTTGCTTCCCGGGGTGTTTTTGCTTCTCTCCTTCAGCAATATTCGCCCTCTTCCTGGTCGCCTTTTCTCATCAAACAGGAATGAGAGCGGCTGCCCTGACCCTCGTAGCTTTCCTGCTGGGTTTCTCTCAGGTGAGTAGTCTTAGCTAGACTAGCCCTTTCTCCTCTGTTTCGACAAGTGAAGGGGGGGGGAAGAGTGCGACGTTATTGTCAATAGGACAGGAAAAAAATGACCAGCTGTCAAACAGCGAAAATCATAATGGGGTTGGATCAAATAGCAATAGCGCTTGGACTTGTATACCGCTTCACAGTGCTTTTCCAGCCCTCTCTAAAGAAGTTTACAGAGTCAGCATATGCCTCCCCCGCACCCCCCAACCATCTGGCTCCTCATTTTTACCCACCTCCGAAGGATGGAAATTCTCATTTAATCCCCAGTAGCAGCTTCTACCTTGCTTAGCCCCCCAGTGCTGACCTTCCCACCGGGGGGATTTGACTTGACTCAGATCATTACCAGGTGACGGGTTTAGGTGCCCTTCCATTCGAGTTCCGGCTTCATCTGGCCACCGAATTCGGCTTGGCAGAAGACCAGAAGGGCACAGTTTGGAAGGGACCTTGGAGGTCTTTCTAGTCCAAGGCAGGAAGCCCGACACCGTTTGACGTCCGAGCACTTGTTCCGTCACAAACAACATCCAAGAAGGGGATCGGGTCAAACTTCACCGCCTGCCTAAAAGCCGGCCGCTCCACGCCGGGCCAGGTCGGGAATAAGCAGCAGCCCGTCGAGGGTGCGCAAGCAGTTTCGTTTTCCGCCTCCGTCGATCCCCAGAGCTGCCGGTCGCGTGGCCTCCGCTGCCTCGGCGGCCGGACGCTTTGATTTGTCTCCAGAACTGTAATCCCCGCGTGGTCGACGGGATGGAGACCCCGGCGCGGTCGGTGGAGGGTGGGTGGGGAGAGAATGCCGGGACTGCGCGGCACGCAGCGCCCCCTAGGAAACGACCTCGGTGTCGCCTTGAAAAGGAGGGTGGGGGTGGGGAGCCACGGGTGGAAAAGCGAAAGCGTTCGCCCCCGAAAGAGCCGGGCGCAGGAAGGGGGGCTTCCCGGTCTTCTGAACCTGGAGGCTGCTGGGAGTTGGTTCGCTGGACGCCTTCCTCCGGGGCCTGCCGAAAGAACTGCCTTTCCCGGCCTCTCCGGCTCTTTTGCAGGTCGCGGGCCGCAGCTGCCCTTTCCCATGCCGCTGCGCGCCGCTTCCCCTTCGCTGCCCTCCCGGAGTCAGCTCGGTTTTCGACGACTGTGGCTGCTGCCAGGTGTGCGCCCGCCAGCTCAACGAGGACTGTGACAAGCTGTCGCCCTGCGATCCTCATAAAGGCCTGGAGTGCAATTTTGGGGCCGACCCCTTAGCGAACCGGGGCATCTGTTGGGGTAAGTAAGCCTTTGCACGCAACCTGGCCTGGAGTTGGAGGAGCCGTTCCTCATCTGCTGCTTCTAGATGAGGTGGGTGACAGCTCCCTCCATTCCCGGCGATCAGGGACGGTGCCATGCTGGAAAGAGGGGTCTGGAAGCGGCCCTCGGAAGGACAGAAGGTTGGAGTTCCAGGCTGGACTTATATGTCTAAAAATCTACCGCTGAAATTGGAAAGAAGTATCCGTGGGTTATTTTTAGCGATTTTTTTTAAAGTCGTTCTTTAAAACAATAGAGTAAGCTTTTATAATGGGATTTCTGCAGGTTTGTCCTATTGCAATATCCTGTGTTAATAATTAAGAAATTGCAGTGAGGTTTTAAGTGATTAATATAGTGTTCACCCCCAGTGAAGTTTCTAGGTGATTAAGCACTGAAAAATGCTTGACCTAGTGAATTAGTTACCCTCAGTTTCACAAGCAGCAGCATTTTATTATAGCAGGGAATGGTTCCAAATTCATCTGTCTTAGAAATATGCCTTCATTCATTGCTTTGTGGCCGATTTGATTGGGCACAATCTTTGCAAGCCAAAAGTCACTGGAGGTAGTATCTCCAAATACGCTAGATGACTGGTGGAAGGCTTAAAGCACCACTGCTCATCAATGTGTGTAGACAGATTTGGCTGGATGGACCAATGGTTTAACAGAAGGCAGGTCTGTTTGTCCAGGCTATTTGGCATATAAATCTGAGCTGGACTGATCTCCATGCCTGGTGATATCTTTTTAGAGATGTTAGGTGAGTTATTGGAAATAGGGAGATCATTCAGTGCTAATGAAGATAACTTGTGTGAGTGTGATGGAATGTGCACCTGGAGGAGCAGTGTGAGAGTTTTGGCAACAAAGAGCTTTCCCAGAAAGAAGCCCAGATTAAGAGACTGCACGGTCCTGAGCTGGATGCGGAAAGGGAAAAGTGGTTCGGGATAATCACACCCCGGAATCTCTCAGGATACATCTATGAGGTTAGAAAGTTACAGCTTTAGTTTGGTAAGAGTCTGTCCATTAGCATTGGACTTGATTGGATCTCAGGGTCTTGTCTCTGGGCTTGGACCGAACAGTCAGTTTCCAAAATACTGTGTCTTATCCCAGCTTCCTTTAGATTACTGGCAGATAAGATCACTCTGTAGTACCTAGTAACTTCTATGCTCAATAGTAGAGTAGTACACAAAGAGATCGGGGCAGTGATATAAATCCAGAGATTTGAGAAAAGAGACATTTTTAATAACTATGCAGAAGTGAAAGTAGAAAGAATGCATGTAGAAAACCAGATTGCATAACCAAAGGAGGTTTGCTTCTTAGCAAGTAGAGCAGATGGATTTTGTTATTATCATAGATAAGACTTCCAGGATGTACATACACGAGCATCAGACTTGCTTTAAAAACTGAGGCTTCCAGATGACCTAGCCATAGCTCCCTACACCCATGGACAAATACACAGGAAATAAAAGAAACCCTATAACCACATATAGGACAAGTAAAAAAGAAGACAACTTTTAGCAGAGCAAGAAGGTAAAGACTACATTGCTTTTTATGCTAGAATTCTCACCAGACCCTCCAGCCCTTTCCCAAGCCACTGCAACCTGATCCCAGGCTGTGTGTGTTTTTCACATCCTGTTTTCACATGTCTATTTAAAGCTTAGAACACTCGCCTCTTGTTGACATGGCCCCTAAAATTTCTGCAGATAAATATTTTCCTCTGACTTCTAAAGGTGATAGCCAGTGACTTGGCTGTGTTTTCACTTCTGCATAATCTAACTCTGAGGTTTCGGGTACCACTCCCAGTTTCAGCTGAAGTTGTATGTTAGCGCAGACCAGCGGGATGTGACCTTGAAGTGTTCTCAGTACCTCTTGGTTATTTTTCAGGTCTATTTGTGTGAACAGTGCTCCCTGGTGTCTATGAAGGTGAAATCCTAATTAGATGCAGGCTGGGAAATCTTTGTGCTGAAGTTCAGAATGATTTAAGACTTCTTTCTGCAGCTATTTCAAAGGATCCTATGTATGTTTGTTTGAAAATAGATTAATAAGAAATTACCTGGCTTAGGGGAGAAAAGGATCATGGATGGCATGATTAGTGATAGCTTGCCCCAACACAGTACCTTGGTAATTCATGCAATTTGTAACTTCTGACATGATCCTCTCTTATAAATGTGTATGTTATATATGATTACACCCTTAAACACACACCAACTAAATTGGAACGTCTTTTTTCTTCCCTTCCTCAGCAAAGCAAGAAGGTCGGACCTGCGAATACAACGGCCGTATCTACCAAAATGGAGAGAACTTCCAGCCTAGTTGCAAACATCAATGCACTTGCATTGATGGAGCGGTGGGTTGCCAGCCTCTTTGCCCACTGGAACTGCCTCTGGCTTCGCTAGGCTGTCCCAGTCCCCGGCTCCTTAAAGTACCCGGTCAATGCTGCAAGAAATTTGTGTGCAGCAAAGGATCCAAGAAGTACAAAGGTGTCACCTTTGAGTACAACTCAAATGGAGAGGCCAGTAACAATGAAATCATCTTTGTGGGTAAAGGTGGACACTGGAAGAACCTGCCAGGTGAGTGGGCAGAAGACAGAAACTCAGCAAAGTTGAGTTACTCAAGCCCCACTAGTGTTAGTGGTGTTAGGAACTTCATGTACTTTCCTTATTCAACTGAAAGAAATATTTCTCTTGGTTAAGTTGGGACAAAATCACAGGGAAAGAGGATTTTGTAGTTTATAATTGCTTCAAAGATTTAGATGGGGTAACTACAAGGCCACAGAGTTGCATTGGACAGGAGTATTCTTTGAAAGGAACAACTGCTGCAGAGCATCTAACCAGAATATCCACTAGTCATCATCTTTTTTAAGGCTGGAGTGTCTCTGCTGCTTCAGGACAAACATATTGTTCTTGAAGCCGTTTGTAGGAATACTTTCTGTTATGATTAAGATAATGGAAATAAGACAGTAGGTCTTAATAAGATTAGATTTACAGGGGCAATACATGGAAAATCGCAGCAATATAATCTAAATGTGACCGGATATAAAGTCAGTGGCCGAGGCAGCCTCCCAAATTTGTTTGTTGAATTTTCTGGTTGAGGTCGAGTCTTGCAATCCCTCTGCTCTCACTGCCTATGTGCAGTCTGCGCACTCTCAAAAAGCTTGTGCTTTGAGCGGATAGCATAGAATAAAAGTCTTTATTGGCCAAGGGTGATTGGACACACACAAGGAATTTGTCTCCGGTGCAGAAGCTCTCGGTGTAGATACAAGCAACAAGATGTGCAGAGGATAGAACGAGCTGACCTTAAAAATAGTTTTGTTTCAACAACAAGAGATTAAAAAGCTAACCCGGTGTTGGGAGGTGATCCTAAGTAGGATGGGAACACTAAACAAAAATAGGGGTAGGAATGGCAGTAGCCTGTTGCCCTTTTGGGATCTAAATCTGATGCTCTTCAGGGGGTCATGAAATGTGATACTTTATTTGCATTTTGCTCTGGTTTCCAGCTGCTATTTCTACTAAACATGACTGTGGGTGGTGAGGGTGAGGTCAGAAAGCACGGCATCCATATCAGTATTTTTTCACCTGATGTCCAGAGTGCAATTTTCTCAAGAACTCGGGATTGCAAGATAATTTTGTGGGTTCGTTCTCACATCTTGCTTGCTGCAGCACAAAGATGGCTGATTGTTTTGTTGGGGCATATCCTAACGCAGGGGTATCTAACTCACGTCATCACGGCAGTGTCACGTGACCTATCGGGACTTTCCCCCCTTTGCTAAATTGGGTGTAGGCACGGCCAGCGCGTGATGCATCTGGCCCGCAGGCCAGGAATTTGACAGCCCTGTCCTAACAGCATTACTTCCTTCTCATCTCCAGCCTATAACTCAGGCAATCCAGATCCATTCTTAGTTATTCCAGTTGGAAGGAGTGCAAAACTTATGTAATAGGTAGACATGCCCTGGAGTGGCACGGTCAGAGACATTTTCAGCTCAATTCCAATTGTCTCAGCAGGCCAGATATAGGAACAGCTCTCCCCATCAGTTGTTGAGCCGCTGGGCCTCCATGAGTATTGTGGTTTTGGCTGCAACCTGGTCTATTTATCTTTACAATATCGGACTCCCGGGAGATTGATAGATCTTCAGCCAGGAATCTTGCTATCTGATATGAGTGTGTACAGTGCGCATGTGTGTGTGTTGAGAAGATTGTAAATAAATATGTAAACTAGAAAAAGCCTAAGAGGCACACATACCCTCAGGGAATAATGGGAGGGAGAAAAGATACCAGTTTACTTGATCAAAATTGATTTGCAGAAGAAATTGGCTTGAGAGGGGAAAAATACTAAAAAAAGACCTAGAGGCAAATGATCTAAAGGCACAGTAGCATAGAGTTCTTTCTGGTTCAGGCATTTCTGTATTTCCAATCAGCTCTTCTGATCTCAGACTTTTTGGATGGGGAGGTACAAATTCTTTGATGTAGCCTAGAATGTATGGTACGATTCAAGAATGGTTTCATAGATGCTGCCATCTCGTGGTTATTGGTTACCTTTAAAGCCCTTCATGGCTTGGGACCAGTTACCTGAGGGAATGTCTCTTGCCAGTCACATCTATCCGACCCATTAGAGCAGGGAGGCGGGGAATGCTACGGGTCCCATCCCTGAGGGAGATACACCTGGTGGGGCCGAGAAAAAGGGCCTTCTCTGTGGTGGCTCCCTCTCTCTGGAACATCATTCCCCCAGAGATTAGAATGGCCCCTTCTCTGATATTCTTCTGGAAGGAACTGAAGACCTGGTTCTGCCAGCGGGCCTGGGGAACCCAGAGCAGGATAGAGCCCATCAAATGGCTCGTGTAATCTGCTATTGTCAGGGCAGGGGGTGGGAACTGGAATTTTATTTTTTCCAGATTTTGCTCTATTGCACTTTATTAATTTATTTGATTCTTTTTGTTAGTTTTTGGTGTTTTTTATTTTAAATATGGTTTTACATTCTGCAAGCCGCTTCGAGTTGCCATGAGTGGCAATATAAATTCAATAAATAAATAAATATTTGGACCATCGCAGGCTTTATAGAGTATTATGGATTTCCTGGGAGTTTGATTTAAGTTTGTCAGAAGCATATAGCGAATGATAAAAATTAGATGTTGATTTATCAGTGAACTCTGCACATGCATGTTCAGGATAGGTGACTGGTTTTCCTTCTGGAAAAACTAGCAAGAAATCCCCCAGTCACTGTCCTGAAATCTACTTTGTGTTGAAAGTTGCATGAGGGAAACAGTAGCACTCCCCCTTCATGTTGCTGAGTCATGGTGAAGATACTGTGTCAACTCGGTTTCATTGAGGGACGCATCAGGGTTGTGTTTGATCTTGGGTGGTGGGGCCTGGGGACAGAGGGGCATGGCCAGCTCGACATCACTCATTGAGGCTCCATTTTCAACTGTGATGGCCTCCTGAAGCCCTCTGCCAGTGAAATCAGAGGGTGCAGCCTCCCTGAACCCCATTTTTGTTGGCAGAAGCACCATGGGCCGGTCCTTTGCTGTTTCCAGGGTGGGCCAGATCTGAGCACCCCATGGGCTGGTTCCGGCCTCAAGGCCTCCAGTTTGACACTCCTGCCGTAGTTGGTGGGAGCAACACAATTTATGTCAATATAACTTCTTCCCAGCAGAAGGACAGCAGGAAAACAAAAACATATCTGTAAGTGTCAGCCCTGACTCTTGTTTAATTTTCCATGCAAAATAGAAATAAGAAATGTCCCCAGACATTCTTAACATTACAGGAGTGTGGAAGAGGAAGGCAGATATGAGGTGGGCCCCACTGACCTGATACATTGCTCAGTCACCAAAGTTTTAAACACAGAAAAGTTGGTACCTGAACTCCAGAACTCAGATTTGTTTTCTTTCTTCCTCTTTCTTCGGTTTTCTGTGCTATAACCATCTGGTGCATGGTTTGCTTTGACCTCTTCATGAAATACCGAGTGAAGTAGCAGAACTGCCAGAGGCTCTTCTTGGTAGAAGAACTTCGCTGGACAAATCTGAGCATCTAAATAATTGCTCAATTTCCAAAAGTGCCCAGCCCTGAGCTACTCACCAGCAGTGCACCAAGGGCTCCCCACCACTGGTCCACCAACAGCATCTTGTTGTGTGCACTCATCCCAGCTGCTGGGATGTTGTTTTGCTCATGTCTCCCTTGGGATCCCTATGATGGTGAAGTAATGAGATTTCTCTCTCTCCCCCCTCAGCATGGAGACCATTCTTCCAGGATCAAGATACAAAGCAAGAGCGCAAATGCTTGGCCCAGACCACACACTGGTCCCCGTGCTCTAAGAGTTGTGGTTTTGGCATCTCTACCCGCATCAACAGCAATAATCCCCAATGCAAGCTGATCAAAGAAACCCGGTTGTGTCAGGTCAGGCCCTGTGAGCAGCCTGATTTTTCAAAGCTAAAGGTAAGATGGCAGAACCAAAAGAAAAGGAGGGCTAGAGTTGGTTACTGCAGCCTTCCCTTTTGATCCTAGCCATAGATCATGCTGTGTGGAGTTGACAAGAGTTGCAGTCCAAATGGGGAAGAGGCCTTACAATTATAACCCAGTTTCTGGAAATCAGAATGTGTATATTAAGTACTGTATATACCGTGTTTCTCCAACAACACGTCCCCACCCCCCGCAATAGGAAGACCCAGCATTTTTCTAGGCATAAAATGAAATTAAGCCCCTCCCCCCAAATTTAGGCCTAGTTTAAAACGTGAAATTGGGGGGGAAAGGGGCGGAATTTGCCATTAGGAGTGTCCCGTGGGCAACTACGCCTCACCATCAGCCGCTCCTAATGGCCAATCATGGTGGAGCACGGAGGGCTCCCTTACCCCCACCAAGCGCTTTTGCTGCAGACCCAGGTCAGCAGGCGGGCGGCGTCAGCGTGGATGTCCAGCAGCGTTTCAGCCGCTTCTCAGGCCTCTGTAGCTTCCACGGTTCCCACCGGTGCTAGCACCTCTCTTCCAACGCCATCTCCAACAACAGCGTCTGAGTCGCTCCCGCTTTTCCCCAGACAACAACAGGAAAAAACAAACATTTTGAGGTACCTGGGAGCACCACGCACTGCGTTTTGGTTTAATCCCGAGCAGCTGGGTGGGTGTGAGAAGAGCTGCGGGAGCGTCTGCTACTGCTACCTTTGGTGCTCCAGCCTCGGGCTCTGCAAGTTTGCAAAAGTCCTGGTGCACAACCCGTTCCTGCATTCCAAGTGCCCAGGCCGAGCTGCAGCTGTCCCTCTCTTGCCAGCGCCGTCTCCAACAACAGCGGCAGCAGCGGTGGGAACCGTGGAAGTTAGAGAGGTGGCTCCCCCACCCAAGAAGCGGCTGAAATGCTTCCACGGTTCCCACTGCTGCTGCCGCTGTTGTTGGAGATGAGGGCGCTGGTGAGAGAGGGACAGCTGCAGCTCAGCCTGGGTGCTTGGAATGCAGGAACGGGCTGCCCAGAGGCCGAGGCTGGAGCACCAAGGGTAGCAGCAGCAGAGTGGCTCGTTTGGCTCTTCTCACGCCCACCCAGCCGCTCGGGATTAAACCAAAATGCAGTGCGTGCGGCGCTCCCATGTAACTCAAAATGTTTTTTTTTTCCCTGTTACGGGGACTAGGGAAAAGCAGGAGCGACTCAGATGCTGTTGTTGGAGACGGCGCTAGTGAGAGAGGCGCCAGCAGCGGTGGGAACTGTGGAAGCTACAGAGGCCTGAGAAGCGGCTGAAACGCTGCCGGCAGACATCCCCACCCACCCGCTGACCCGGGTCTTCAGCGCTTGGTGGGGGTAAGGGAGCCCTCTGCGCTCCACCATGATTGCCCGTTAGGAGTGGCTGGTGGCGAGGCATAGCTGCTGGCGGGGCACCCTTGGCGAGGGTGGGAAGAGGAGAGAAAGTAATTCACTCCCAACAAGACGTCCTAGCCGTTTTTTCGGGGCTCAAAAAAAAACAAGATCCGGCCTTATTATATGAGAAACATGGTATTAATAAAAAAATATGAGTTTCCTGCAGCCAGGTTCTGGGTAAGGAATGGGGTATCTAATAATTGAAGTCAGCATTCCCTAACTAATGCTGGTCTGTGGTTCTGACTTCAGACACCCTAATTAAATGGTCTGTAGTTTAATCTTCTCCAGGGATATTTGGGACAGTATAAGAGTTTTACTGGCCATGTTTGCAGGCAGTTTTAAATAAGTTGCTGCAGTGGGGAAAGCTGTACTAATTCATAGCAGTCTGGGCCTGAGAGAGGACTAGATGGGTAGCATTAAATACTTTCCTTTCCCCCTTCTCCCCCCCCCCCTTTTTTTTAGAAAGGCAAGAAATGCCTGAGGACGCACAAAGTGCAAGAGCCTGTGAGATTCAGTCATGCTGGTTGCAAGAGCCCACGTCGTTACCAGCCCAGTTTCTGTGGGGCCTGCCTGGATGGCCGCTGCTGTGTACCTCTGCGCACTCGTACACTAGATGTACCTTTCCATTGTCCTGATGGGAGCAGTTTTACCAAGAAAGTCATGATGATCCATACTTGCCAGTGTGGGGCAGCTCACTGCCCGCTGCTGAGTGAAGATGCCATGGGACCCCAGTATCAGCTGAATGGGGACATCCACAAATTCCTGGAATGACAGGGCATGCCAACCTGTCTACCGGCGATGGCTCTGATGGATTACTTTGGATCATCCAGGCCCTTCCCCGTCCTGCTTGATCCATGAAGCTAAGACAGGCTGTAGTTGCTCTGCTTCCCTGAATGCAAATCCGGAAGATAAAATGGCATTTGGAAATGGCCTCACCCTTCGGTATTTGGAAAATGCATTGGGCTATGTTGGGAGTATGGCTATCCAGTGGGAACGGATCAAATGGCACTGATTTCAGTCTCTCTACTCAGTCCAGCCAAGCTCAGGCTGGAACTGAGTCTCAAGCTACTATGGTAGGAGAAGATCAAAGACTTCTGATTTGATTTGATTTCTATTTCATGGCCCTCGTGCTCGAAAGTTTGAGGAAGCACAGCATTGTGCACTATTGGTAGCGTGGTTGGGGGGGGGGGGAAATAGTACATTTTAAGTTAGATAAGTATGAACTGTAGTGGAATAAGCTGTCTCTCAAAAGAGCCACAATTCTGAATGAGTTTGGGATCTGGCAATAAAACCTTAGAGCAGGGGTGTCCAACCTTGGCAACTTTAAGACTTGTGGACTTCAACTCCCAGAATTCCTCAGCCAGCTTTGCTGGCTGAGGAATTCTGGGAGTTGAAGTCCACAAGTCTTAAAGTTGCCAAGGTTGGACACCCCTGCCTTAGAGCAATCTAATGAATAAGGAATGAAAAGGAGACGGGAAACAAAACTCAGATAACAAAAGTATGTATTCTTCCCCCCACCCCCACCCCAGCCTCAGCCTCCTGTGATTTTTCTGACCAACTGGCCAGAAAGAGATGCTGGTTGGGTCTTCTTATCTCACCATTGTTTACTTCTGCTCCTTAGTTTGCTTCCTCCTTGTCCTTCAGTTTAAACCGGTTTGCTAGTTTGCCCATCTTTACATCCAAAGGCTACATTCCTGACTGCCCACAGTGCCCCCTAATGGCAAGATGTTTCCAGGAAGGAGCTCCGTGCAAGGACCCAGCAGGAAGGGAAATCCGTATACACTGTTCATTCATGGTCTACTTTCGATCTCCTCTAGTTTGCACTCTGTTAGGCTACTAGTCTGTTTGTTGCCAGTCTAGCTTTTAAGCTTCACATTCATGGAGGGAGATCTCAAACAGAGGAAAAACAAAATTACTTTATGGCTTTAAAATGAGTTGAAATGGAGTTGAAAGAGGATTGTTCTATATGTGCAGCCACTTTAATCTCTGGTTTTAAAAGCTTGTACAATGATGATAGTTGCACAAAGAATTTTGTGTTGGGCTGCAGCAGCAGAGATGTATAAAAAAAGCAGCGTTTGAGATACCGTCCGTTTTCCAATCAACGATTGAGCCAAAAAGCACTTAAAAAAACAAAACAAAAAACATCCTATTCCCATTCTGGTCCTGGTGAACAACAAAAGGAATGTTAAAAACAAACAAACAAACCAGGGCACAGTATTAGAAGGGACTTGAAACATTTTGGAACAGTTAGGAAAACCTATATTTATACGTGCAGCAAAGTACTCTCTGCTCCAAAGATTATTTTATGGATTTTTAAAATTTTGTTTTGCATAAAGAAAAGCTTCAATAATAGATTGGAGCGATGGCTATTTAGCTTCATAATGAAGCCTTCTGTGCATTACCTTCTAGATGCAAAGTTTTTATTCCTATGTTAATCATCGAGTTGCTACAGTGATAGTTCAGTGTTTCTCATTTTAGTCTGTTTTATGACCCTTCCTGCTTGATAGAAAGCTCTGTAGCAGAGAAACAGGATACGGCCCTTTCAAAATGATACTCGAAATGGGCTTGATATAATGCTTCCAAAACAATCTTCTGCCAGAGACAGACAATGGAATATGGACTTGGATTTGCCTTGATCACTTGTAGGCATCTGATGTCCCCTAAATGTATTCCACCTTAATTACAAGTCAAAATGAATAGTGGCAAGAGATTGTGGAACCACCAATGGTTCTCAATTGGTGGAGACAAAGGTCTTCCAAGGATGGGCTGTGTAAGGTGTACACATGAACATACACAGCCCAGATCTACTGAGATTACAAAACCTTGTGAAAATGTATTATTGCTGATTTTGATCTTTATTTTGGCCTTTTATTTTAAGATGAAAAACTAATTCTTATTTGGTTTAGGGATCCCATGAACTGTGTGTGTTGGGAGCAGAGGCCACACACCATGGTGAGTGCAGGCACCACATGGCTGATCTGTGGCTTATGTGGCAGTCCTCAAAAAAAAAAAACTTTCATTGGAGGGCTTCAAATTAAGGAAAAAGTAAGAGTCACTTGGAAGGTACCAGCATGTTTTTGATTCTTGGAACCATCAACTCTGAATCTGCAACTCTCTCAAAATGACTTTAGAGATGGTTATAGTAAAAGTAGCTGACTATTCTTGGGCTGTGGGGAATGAGCATTGCTATGCTACTTGCTTTGGAATTGTACTTTGGATTTTTTCCCTCCCAAATCTGTAAGGGAACAGGCAGGACCTGGCCTTATTTGGAATGCTTCTGCTATTTTAAAATATATTTTATTCAAACTTATGCTGATCCTTTGTTTCAATGAAGATTATGTGGCTATAATTCTGTACATTGTCATGTCCACGAATGAAGGCGAATATAAGTGTCACAGGATAATGCTGCAGGATTCAATCTGAGTCGGTCACCGGGACCAGAGTTTTAGTTTGCCAAGCTTTCAGACTCCTACTGGAGTCCATCCATTGTCATGTCTCTCCCATTGCCCTTTGGTGGAAGATATACAACCCCTTAAAGAAGAAAATTGAGAGAAGTAAAATACTCAGAGGTGGTATCCAGCAGATTCTGACCAGTTCTGGAGAACCAGTAGTGGAAATTTTGAGTAGTTTGGAGAACTGGCAAAAACCACCTCTGACTGGCTCACCCATCTATTCTCTGCCTCCTGAGTCCCAGCTGATCGACTGGGTCTTCTTTTGTTGCCCTGCACAGGAGAACGGAGCTGGAAAGCAGGTTAGTGGGGTGGAGAGGGAATGGAGATTTTGCAGTAACCTTCCCCTGCCACGCCCACCAGAACTGGTAGTACATTTTTTTGAATTCCACCACTGAAAATACTTCTGAATATCTGGAGCAGAGCAAGGAAATTCCTGATTCCTTCCAGATAAACCCCTGAGTCCCCCCTCATTTTACAGAAAACATCAACAGGTATTGAATAATTAATCGAGTAATTTCCCCAGGATCTGGAAGCACAGCAACAGAAGACAGAGGCATAATTGTTGAAACAACGCCCATTTGGAAAAACAAACAAACAAACCTGCTGATGAGTATTGCCAAGTAAAGCATTCCTCCTGAGCTGTAATATTCAAAGGCAATTTTGCCAAACCCTGTGCAGAGTTTTGGAAATCAGATTTAAATGTGTTTGCTTCAGGGATGCAGGTTCAACAGAGTTTTTTTTTTTTTAGATTAGCCCTGCATTTGTGGGACTTATTTTGCTGCATTTCTTTAGGTAGGTTTTGCTGTGTACTTAGCAGAATGCAGACATGCACTTGTACACATGTGCTAGTAAATTAGGTCCACAGACCCTATTTCTAAGGAAACATAGTTATAAGCTGACATAGCTGGAGATTAGAAGGATCAATACTATTGGAGCACACCCCTACCCAACACTATTAATAACCGGTTTACAGTCCCCTATTGTGTTACAATTACCAGTATTCTTTAAATCTTTTCCTAATTGTGGAAAAATAATTGGAAAAGACTAGGTTGGGGAAAATGTGCTCCACCAAATGTTGTTGAATCAAGATCCAGTCAGTTCTAGTCATCATGATAAGAACATAGGAATGGGTTGAGGTTATAACCCGACATCTATTTTTAAAAGAATAATCACAGCAGGATTATTTTCTGGTAAAATCTAGAGAGATCAATGTTTCTTTTGTCCCTCATTGTTCGTTTAGTATAATGATTAAACAGTTGGATGAAGATAGAGGTTGGATGAATAACATTATCTTCACCTCAAAGAGTTGCTGTGAAGATAATTTCAGAGCAACCCTACATACTAAATGCAAACCAACATGCGTAAACAGATAATTTTTGCAAACCAACATACGTAAACACACACACACATATAAACACTAAAGGAATTTTAAAATAAAAACAATACAAATTTTGAGAGAGAAAATAATGAAAACAAGGAAAAATAATAAGGAAGTAAAAATGTGCAAAGAAAGAAATAGAGAAGACAAAGTTATAAAGAAGTTTCTGATTTTCTTAATAGCTATTGCAAGTACCTTTATACCCTTTCTCTATGATTACAGCAGAATTTGCTTCTTTCTATAGTTTTATCTTTCCAATCATCAAATCCATAAATCACAACTTCATTTTTTCTTGTTTCAGCAAAAAGCCCATAAGTGGTTTCCAGTCACAAATATAGTTATTGTCTTTTTCCTAGCTAGGCAACTAAATTTCTTGATCTCAAAAGTCTGTCATCCTCACCAGCCATTCCTGAACTGTGAATATTTCAGAGTCTTTCCATTTTTGTGCATATAATAATTTTGTAGCAGTGATTGTATGTAAAAGCAACCTTTTAACTTTTTTTCTAATTATCCATTAGTCCCAATGCGAAAAGTTCTGGTTTCAATTGAACAGCAGATTACCAAGGATTTTCAGTCTATGAACCAGGTACCCAAATACTATTCTTTGCTGAGTTCTTTATCTAAACTATAATTATGATATTGTGTTTTGATCTCCATGATCATTCAGGAAAGACCTACAACTCTTAAGTATTCACTCTAGGACTGAGATCTGGTTAAGACTGCTAATAGAACTTGTGAAAATTACTTTTTTTGCTATCAAAACTATCTCAATCATAAAGAGGAGATAAAACAAATGAAAGGCTTTCAGCAATGTTTTCTCTGTTTTAATAGGCAGCTTCACTTGTCATAACAGAGGCACCAACTTTCTTTTTCCTGACTTTGCAGGCAGACAATTCACTTTCTTCCCATAACCAACCTCCCTTCTCCAATTACAATAGGAATTATAGCATAGAACACATCTGTTATATTATAGTAATTATACTATTTATATTATACCCTGCTACAGTAATATAAATCCTGCGGCTTCACTTCCTGTGATATTGCTCCCTGTCCTTGTAGAGGCAATATCTCAATGATTCTCTTCTTCCAATAGGCTGCAAGAGTTGGCAGATTTTTAGGTAAGGTTGAAGGACGGTCAGATATAATAATGTTATATTTATATAATGTTTTGGACATTCTTCCAAACAATGAGATAATTTTAAGAAGCAATTTTGGAAGACATTTTCATTATTCTTCTGTTTTGCCATGTCAACAAAAATATATATTTTTATTTTTTACTAAGTAGTATAAAAGTATTAATAAATATTGATATTATATATAAATATATATTTATAAAAGAAGATCAGGATATTTTCTAAGATAAAACAATTGGGCAGCTATTGTAATGTTTAGGCTGGGCTGGAGGAAACATTCAGTGATGGGGAAACATTCAGTTTAGCATGTCTTCCTGTAGGAAGTTGGCACCCACACCTCTCCTAGAAAATTGAAATATCCTAGGAAATATTAAAAAGGCAGAATATTTCCTCTAAAAAAAAAAAAGAAACTCAGAAGCAGAAATTCACCTCAGAAGTAGAAGCTCCTCCCCCACCTTTGTTAATGGGTGGGCCATTAAGGCCTGGGCCAGAATACTTTACATAACAAAGATCTCCAGGTAAAGCTATAGCAATTGCTCAAAAGCCCTTTTCGGTGCATCATCATCCAGCAAGGCTCAACCAAGCCTAGAGCTCAGGACAGCCTACAGAGTTGCCCCTGCATGGCCCCATGGGAGTCTGACAACCAATCAGAATACAAGCTCCAATTCAAATCCCAACAAAGGTTATAAAACCCAGGCACTCTCATCATATCAGCCCTTTTTCTTGATCTCTTCCTTCACCTTGAAGCAGGTGATCATCCTTCCTTTTCACTCTGGAGCTCCAAGCCATGTGGTCCTCCTGTCCACCATTAAACCTTCCAAACAGCCTCCACGTTTCCAGTGTCTTTTTCCCCACTTGGAACTGAACCCAGAAGGATATTTCTTCCAACATTCCTTCCTGCTAACTTTAAAGAAAGAGAATCATCCTAAACTGCTGGGTTACAAAGATGTGTGATTTCACTCTTTTTCTGCTCATATTTTGTCTTCTCTCTTGTGCAAATGTTTGCAATGCGGGGAAAACTACATTAAAACGATGTGTGAAAAATGAAACATAGGTAATGTAAGTAAAAATAATATTGGAACATTTGCAAAACAGTTGAATTTCATCCCTTTGGTATTGTTTATATAATGAACCTTAGATGTAATTCTTGAGAAATAGTATTAAATCTCCTGATAAAATTCAAGTTCTGCTTTGAAAGCACACCTGAAATCAGTGAAAATGCCCTGTGAAGGCCACTGAGAGAACATGAATAATTCAGAAGTGAAAAATTCTATATAGGAATAGTAAATGTAGGCTTGCCATTTTAGAATAGCAGTAGCAGGTTATTAGCAGTTTACCTTTGCCTTTAAACATGTAACAACAGGTGGCAGCCCTTAGCCAAATCTGACTATCTCAGAATAGCTGGGCTAGTTCCTGGATGAGAGGCTACCATGAATCTTGGCCAGAGACTAGACTTGGAAGCTGAAAATAAAATACTTGGAAGAAGGTACTGGTGAACCATTTCTGTCTCTTGTTGCCAAGATCATTATATGGTCATTCATGTTCATAAAGTCACCAAGATTTGAGTTTCAGTCAAAGGAGACTTTTTAGTTACAAAAACAGACAAAACTTCTCGGCTAATTTTAAGTTAGGACATTTGCTTCATTATGGGGTTCTAACTTGTGTGAATAAAAAAGAAATACAGCAGGAGGGAAATGAAAGACAACACAACTCTCCTTCTAAATGACAGTGGCTTAGTCTTTGTACAGGAAGCTACTGACTTATGAAAATAATCAAGCACAGCTGTTCTTCCAAGATTCTTTCATAGAACTATCAAAGCCTGAAAGCTGTTCAAAGCTAAAGCTGCCTTTCAGCTGGAGGGAATACTTGGTGTTTTATCAATTAAACGTATGCAATGCTACTGTTGGAAGACTTAAAAGACCAGGTTTGAGAGACAAATGGATGCAGAGAATATCTATGTGGTTGCTAAGAGTCAGCGACGACTTGATGGCAAATAACCAATCAAATGGTAACCACGCAATGAACGACTTTTTCCTATATTATGAATGCAACAACATGATTGTAACGAAGCCCATAAACCGTACATCTGAAATTACCTGCTGTTTACGTGAAATGCCTTTAGGGTGGGAGTTGTTTCGGACACGCCACTTTTCTGATGACGGAATTTTAAATTAGAGAATTAACTTAGATGAATATCTACTTTAAAAAGAGCCTAGTTTACGCGTGGCGGCGTCCGTGGGTATAGATTCACCCAGGATCCTGTCTGGCCTATCAGATGAGCTCTTCGGCCGAGCCTCAACTCCCCTCTCCGGAAAAGTAGAGCCTTCCCACGCAGCTCTGCCCCTTCAGGGAGGTGTGGGGTTTCCCCCCAAGTTTAACCACTGAGGCCAGTTAATCTCGGGATTTGAGAAACGGGGACCCAAGTCGCCTGGGTTGCCCGATTCCTTGGGAAAGGAATCCCGTTCACATTCTCAGCTGCAGACCGCCGCGACGTCCCCGGGTGCGTGAACCCCTATTTCCCCCGCGGTTAGGTTAAAGGCCCTTCACAGGTCGCCTCATAAGAACTGCGGCAACGAAAGGGTTAATGGACTCCCTCGCTTCTCCCCTTCCCTCCACACTCCCCCCCCCAGGCTGAATTGATCTATTAACCAGCTGCCACATTAGCTGGGATGGGGGGTGGGGCAAGCGGTACAATAACTGCCTCTTGCAGCCGGAGACAATCGATCAGCTCAGCTCCGGCCTCTTCGCGGGAATGACATCATCCCTTCCAAATACCAAGCGGCACCGCCATTGGCTGGCCAGGTAACTGAGCGAGGCATTGCTGCTCCCCCCACCCCACCCCACCCTCCGCCCAATGTCTACTTTGCGGCGGTGGCGCTGTGCTCGTCCTTTCCACACACGCCCAGTGCGAGCGGCCGCCGGCTCCAGCGAGCGGCACCGACCGGCCTCTCATTCTAGAGTTGGCTTGCTCTTGGCGCTGCACGAACGGTTTAGCGCTGCTCCCCGGCGCACGGCAAGCGAGGTAAACAGCCGTCCACATGGGCTGAGCTGGGCTGGGCGGAACGGTGCCGAAGCTCCGGGGCTGGCGAGGCGGTTCCCGGCCGGGACCGAGGGAACTGCTCGCGGGAGGGGGACGGGGCGGACGCTGGATGACTCTACCCCCCCACCCTCGGCTTGGCGCTTTCAGGGAGTCGCTTGTGGGGAAGCGGGGGACGGGTGGCGTGGCGGAGAGAACTAGGCGGTGGCCGCCGCGCGTCTCGCCTGCAGGTGCAGAGAGAGAGAGAGAGAGAGCCGCGCCTTGTTTTGGGTGGGCTGTCGGCTTTGTTAAACCGAGCAGTTTTTGCACGGCTTCTTTTGCCTTCCGGCCGAAAGGAAAGTCAGGAAATGGATCCGGAGTCTTTTCTGGGCACGACCCCCCCGCCTTCCCCCTCCTTCCCTTTGTGGCTACTCCGTCGTGGCGGGGGGGGGGGCGCGGCGGGAAGAAAAAAAGAACCGCGTTTTAACCCGGTCAGTTTCCATGCCTGCCTTGGTTGCTGCCCTGCTGAACTTGAAAAAGATGCCTGTCTGTTTTGGCCACCTGCGTTTGTGGGCTGGTTTGCTGGCTGGATTTGATCCGGGGTCAGTTTTAGGAACGGCATTCAGACGATAAGTGCTAAAAGGGGATTGGGGTCGGTGGAAGACACTTGGCGGAGAAATAAAAACGATGCATCTGACCGTCGGAACAGTCCCCATCTCCGGAGTCTCTACTGAGAGTATGGAGGGGGGGGGGGTCAGAGGCGCGGCCGCCGGTCCATTTTCTTTGTTTAGGGAGGGGTCTACGGTGGTAATGGGCGGCAGCCTCGCCCTATGCTGCTTTGTTGGGAAGAATAGTTGAGGGTTTTTTATTTTTTGTTTCTCTCCTTTTTATTGGGTAAACCTCTTTAAAAAAAACATGTATTTCCCCCAGTTAAAAAAAACAAGCTGAACGAAATTATTTGCTCATTCATCACATCATTAATCTCCACACGGGCTCTTGCAGCTTCCATTAAACAAAGGAGTTGTGCTCTTCTGGGAGAGAAATACCGTATATAAAGGCTCTTCTAGTCTTAAAATCACCCCTAGAGCTAGGGTTGTGTGAACATTTTGTATTACAAATAAAAAATAGAGTCCCTGCTCTTCTAAGTTGAAGTAAGGGCTAGTAGCTAAGCTATTAGCCCATAACTAATGATGTGCTGAGTAGAATTGAAGCAAAATGAGGCTTTTATAAATGAATTAGCAGTTCTTAAAATGATGTGAGCTGCTCTAAAGAAGAAGAAAAAAACTTGATGGTTCAGATAAATGGATGCTTTTTTGTGATAGACCTTTTAACTTCCTATTTTCCAGCTAGCACGTCTAGAGGACACTGGGTTGGGAAAAGCTGCCCTAACTTTGTTAACCAAAGAAACAAAATGATTTTAAAAAAGCATTGATAAGGTCAAGAAAGATGGGTGATGGAAAAGAGGCAATGTTCAAAAAATCGATTTCAGATAGTGGTAGAAAAGAGAAAATGGTTTCCAATTGGAACTGTTGGCAACAGATGATGGGAAAGGTTATAAAACTTAGTTCAAGAAGGTCATGTGAAGAAACACAGATATTGCAATTTATTGTTGACTTAAGTGTAAGAAAATGGTGTTGCAGAGAAAGGGATCTACTAAATGCACTCTGTTTGCACTGAACAATCCTTTTACTGGGTTTTTTTTTGGCATCGGCTCCACCACCACCACCCTCAAAAAAAAAAAAGAGAAAGCTAATGCTTGGGAGTTGTTTCCACTGCAAGAACCAGACAAATGGACGAGATGATTCAGCTGCCTCTTTAGTAGAGGCAATTGAAGAAAAAGCAAATGCACACACCGTTGCACTGCTCCTTCATGGCATTGAGTAGTTGTGTTCTCCCAAGTGGGCTTTTGGACCTAGTTTGCAGAGCCAATTAACACAGAGAATAGAGATTAAATTGCTTTATTTGTGCAAATAAAGTGTGGCAGGAAAAATGTTCCAAAGCACTCTAAGCCTTGGGTGAGCTTAGGATGGATTCTTGCAGAGGAAACCAAAAAGAATTTCCTTTGATTTATCAATGTTCAATAGCTCTAGTATCCATTAAACAGTAACATGGTCCAGGCCACATTGTCTGTGTGTTCTACAAGGGACTGCCCTTGAAGAGCATGTGGAAGCAGTCAAGTGGTGCAGAATGCAGTTGCACAGGTAGCAAATGGTCTCAGATATTCAACATATGTAACAGCCCTGCTGCTTGGGCAGCATTGGTTGCCGGTCAGCTTCCACATGCAATTCAAGGTGTTGGTTGTCACTTTTAAAGCCCTTCATGGCTTGGGAATGGATTACCTAAAGCAGAGGTCACCAAGCTTGGCAACTTTTAAGACTTGTGGACTTCAATTCCCAGAAATCTCCAGCCAGCTATGCTGGGAGTTGAACTCCACAAGTCTTAAAGTTGCCAAGTTTGAAGACCTCTGACCTAAAGGTTCATCATCTTCTCTTAGTGGTTTCTTTCTGTCTAGCTCAGTCTGTTATAGGTCCTGTCAGTCAAGGAATATCTGCTGGCAGAGACCAGGAGAGCTGCCTTCTCTGTTGCAGCACCATTCTCCCCTCTGAGATTAGGATAAGCCCATCTGTCCCTGCTGGTCTTGAAGCCCTGGCTATGTGCCAAGCTTGGGGCCTCCAGTGTAGTTTTTAATATCTTTTTTGTGGTGTACGCTGCCCAGAGTGTCTTGTTGAGACTACGTCTATGGAGATTCTCAGTCACCCAGGTCATAGTTGTCCCAAAGGTGCTTTTTTTTCGAGAGGCAACTGGACTTTCTTTGTTTTTCCCTGAAGATTAGATTAGAGAACTTTATTGTCATTGTACAAGCACAACGAAACTGTGGATGCACCCTAGCAACTGTTTGCAATACAATAAAACCAAAGCACTTAAAAATGAAGATAAGAAAGATAAGAGTACCCACGTCTCCATTTGCAATTTGAGAGTGCAATATCTATGAATATACACAAAAAATACACCCAACACTGACTGTAACGCTTAGCCGAGTATAATACACAAGAGATGGATTGTACTGTAATATGTTATTATATTAAAGACGTTTTGCTTCTCATTCAAGGAGCTTCTTCAATCCTGAAGTTGTTGAGACTATAGAAATAGGGTGGATATAGAAATCGTATCTATCCTAGCCTTCCATGCCCCTCCAGCAACACCGTCACAACTGATGGAAGTCTCTTGGATGTGAAACAAAACATTTTCTCCCTCAAGGGAAAGTCCAGTTGTCTTTTGAAAAAGCACTTTTGAGAGAGCGATGACCTGGGTGACTTGAGGCTCTCTCCACAGACTATAGAAATCAAGTAAAATGCCATCAATCATGAGGTCTCTGACCACAGTGATGTTTGTTTTCCTGCCTCTCTGTTCTCACCATAAATGTTAATAGGAACCTACAATTAACTTGTTCTCAGCTTATCTCTTTCCTACGGAAATTGTCTGTTAGCTCCCAGTTATCTCGCTCAGTAATGCGCGCAGGACAATCCTGAGTGTCTTCTCCTCCCCCAGTTCCAGCTGCACATGGAACCATAACAGCGTCCTCCCTTTTTATTCCCATGCATTCTATTATCTGTCTTACCCTTCACAACTCTAAGCTACAAGGGCCTCTCCTTGCCCTTTCTGGACATCAAATCTGCAAAAAGGTCATGGTTGAAGGATAGCTAAGCAAACTTATTTCAACAGCTGGGCAGAGGAGGGAATAAAATACATTTTTGATCAAGCAAGGGGGATGGCATGCTATCTTGTGAGCCTGGTTTACTATCTGTATAAAAAGCTTTGATGTTCTCTTAACTCCTGCACGTACATTCTGCACACGGAGGAGGCACTCCTGTGAATTTCCTTAAATTTCTGTCTTCTAACTACATAACCGGTTTCCTTCTGTCACTGGTACACTTGCCAGATGCCTTTTCACACAGCAGTTTCCTTCAGTCTTGACAACATCCTTTCACTGGAAGTAGCCAGGTTGGCTGGAAATTGTGGGAGGTGCATTCCCAAGACATCCACACAGCATGAAGATCAGGAAGCCTTCTTTTCTTGTGTGCTGTACTTACAGTTGCTATGAATTACCTCAAAATGCTTGTATAATGCAGGCTGACAAGACCATGAGGCTGATCACTCAGATGAGAATTGGGGAAAATAAAGAAAACCAGGGATGGCGTAGTTCTCCTATGGATAGTCCTAGACGTAATAAAGGTTGCCCTTTGGTTGCCAGGCGGAGTTTGGGTACTTGGTTTGGCATGAGAATTGCTAGATCACCTATTAATGGTAGCAACCCTTTGTATTCTTTTTGAAAAACATTTTACTATGGCCAGAGGATGGGGCAGAGAGATTCTGGTAAACTAGACAACTTTATTCAACAGAATTGAACTAGTAGAGAAGATGACAATGTGGCCTGGACCATGTTACTGTTTAATGAATACTAGAGCTACTGAACATTTATGAATCAAAGGAAATACTGAATGGCATATCACAAGGCTCTGTTTTAGGCATTGTGCTATTGAACATAATTATTATTTAGATGATTTAAAAATTGTATTATCTTTGCAGATGATATTAGACGGTAGCAAAGTCTTTGGAGGACAATTTCAAGACTGAATGGGATCTTGCACAATGGAACACTGGGCAAAATCCACAAAATAAATTTCAGTAGAAACATATTTATTTAAATTTATTGGCTGTGCAACTCTAGTGGACTCTGGGCAACATACAATATTTAAAAATCATAAAAATGGTGAGAAATGTTAAATCAAAAGGGAGCCCAGGATAAAATATTCACAAAACAAAACCCACAAAACAAAAGAGGAGCCATTAACAATGAAAACTGTCAACCCCAGGCCTGGGACCAGAGCCAGGTTTTTAAGGCTTTCCAGACTCCCAGGAGAGAGGGAACCATCCTTATCTCTTGCGGGGGGAGAGGGGGGGGAGGCAGGGATGGTTTTAGCGGCTGGGGGCTGTAAGTCCCACAAGATAACCACATTTAATGGAGGAGACCTGAGTGCACCTGCTCTGCTTCAGTGCACTGGGTGGGCGGAAACTATTGGAGATAAGTGTTGTCTCAGAGATCCAGGCGCTATGCCATACAACACGAATGAAAAGTGTTCCACGTAGGTAGGAAAATTGGAGTATAGTGAAGGATGACAAGAGTATGTAGAAATATATCTGAATGCCAGTCATGTAGAATATGGAAAGGGTAAAGTTGGTCTAGAAGACATGGCATGAGAGAATGGTTTAAATTATATGGCAATAGATTTTGGTTGGTTATCAAGACAAATTTCCTAAGCTGCTAAGAAAAGGAAGAGATTGCTTTGGGGGGTTTCAGCAAGGGCTGGATAACCTTCCCTTGGGGGTATTGCAGTTATTGATTCATGCATTGGATGAAAGACTGCACGGGATAAGGGTGATCTCTTCCAACCCTGACCTTCCATGATTGTGTGATAACTGCAGTCTTGCTTATTATACCCTCAAACCAAATTAGATTAGAGAGTACTAGTCCTGCTAAACCCTCACTTGGAGTGTTTTGTGCTGAAGGGAAAGATAGGGTATAAATGTGGTGTATTATTGTCAGTTTTGCAGGGACGCCTCTGTTTGTGTATAAGTAGTTGTTGGCCCAAGTAGTGTACGTGCATGAGCTGTGTTAGTGGCTTGAACCCCTTCTGCATTCAAGGTGTAGCCTAAATCTAATAGTTACTGGTTCTTGTTGTAGTTAGTGATGTTTCTGTCTTATTTCATAGATAATAATTCACAAATTAGCAGAGATACTAAGGGCATAAAAGTAAGATCAACACTAACCTAGGGAACTTGTGTACCAGTTGTTAAATTTGTATGCCGACCCTCTCACAGATAAATATGCATCAATGCTTTCTGTGGTAACAATAAGAGAGAAGAAAAGCACCCATTTCTCACTCAGAATCTCCTTTTATGCCCTTCCATCACCAACGTTGTCGAGTCTGGAAGCGCAAAGCCGCCTGATTCAGAATGCTAACTGCTTTGCCTACCCCCCCCCCACACACACTGGTGTTTGTATATAGGACTGCTGTGTCAATTTCTTTTTGCGATGTTCTTTTTATAGGCAGTAATACTTAGAGGAGAGCAGAAGTGTGAATATGTCTTAGATGAAAATGAATCAACAATGTGTATAGGAATCTAATTTCAGTCTTTTGAACTGAACTTTGACCTGGGTCCATCTGTTTTTTTTGTGTGTGGAATGCAGCTCCTGGCAGTGTGCGGTCTGAATGAGGTTGTTTACCCTTGCCACAGCAAGCTGAAAGTCTCTTTGCTCTGACGTGACCTCCATAGAAGGTGAGTTTTACGATAGCCTAGCTATTGTTATTGTAGGTCCTTTCAGATATGACTATTGTTGTAAAAGTCTGTGACAATAAAGTAAGGATAGTATCAGTGAAAACAATTGTGTACTGACAGTACTAGTTTTGTCAGTACTGACTTCAATCCTATTTGCATCCAGTATTGTCTACCATCAGTAAGGAGGCTAGTGTCTCTCTCTCTCTCTCTCTTCCTCCCTCCCTCCCTCCCTCCCTCTATTTACACAGAGTCTTCTTGGGGGTCCAGCAATAGGTATGGTTTGGGTCACCTTGGTAGTTCTCTTTTTCAGGACCAAAGTGAAAACTGCAACCTGCCAAGCCATTCAGACACCTATCGCCCACCTGGAGCCTGTGAAGGTGAAGATGGATGACGGTGGCAGAGCTGCTAGCGGAACCTCAGTTCCGCAGACCAGTGGGGGGGCAACTGCTAGGAAGAGTGTGCCAACTGCTTGTCCCCCCGCTGCCAAGCAAAAGGCCAGCAAGCCCCCCCAGCCAGCAAACAAGGTTCCCAACAAGAAGCAGCCAGCAGCCTCTGCAGCTGCTTCTTCAGTTCCTAGTGGAGCTTCCAGAACACTTGGAAATGGAACTGCTTGGAAGGCCAACATGCCGCAGCCAAAGCAGCCGGCATCCAAGACTAGTAACGTTGACAACTTGTCTGCTAGAGCGACAATGAAAAAGGCCACAGGGGTCAAGACAAGTGGGTTGAAGACTTCAGAAAAGAGAGCTACAGAGAAGGAAGTGCAGCAGAAACCTCCAAAGGTGACCACACCGCCCATAGGTATGCTTTGCCTGTTTCTTCAGCATGGAATAATTAATCCTGGACTTGGTTCATTCCTGCATTTTCAGCATATTTGAGGATGGTTTTAGGCATGTTTTTCAAAGTGTACTAAGTGATCTAAACTACTGATTTTTTTTTTTAATTCAGAAAAAAGCATTGAGAGCCATCTAAATACTAGCTGTTGGGAAGAATGCAAGAACTATATGGATCTCTTTTCCTAAATCACTAGATACTGGGATGGCTTTTTATACCTTGTAACCAGGCAAGCAGTATTCCCACTATTAAATTGTGGCAGCTGTAAGACTGGATTCTGAGGGTGCTGCATCTTCTGTATTTTCTCTAAAAGCCACGGGATACTGTTTAATCCTGAAAAAGAAACCTTCCCTTGTTCTACATTCACTAGAAAATTCCTTGCATGTGTTCATTGCAATGTGTCAATTAATCGTTAAACTGTTGCCTTTTTTTTCTTCTTCCATCAGCATCAAAAGCACCTTCAACAAAGCCCAGCAGAGCTGAACAGACTAAAACTTCCAGGTATCCGTTTCAGATGTACCCGTCAAAGAGTTGGGATTTTAAATGTTCCGATTGAGTGTGCTGATTTGCGCAGAAAGGCCGGGTTTTCGAGGTTCAAAGCAGAGTCTTGGTAGAGGGAATAGTTGTGAAATCACAGTGAGAGCAATTGGTGGTCCCTCAATATAACGTATTCCTTCAGACAGGTCAGGTTGCATATATGGAAAGCATATGCATGTGTCATATTAAAGCAGTCCTTATAGCATATGAGTGTCATGTCTGTATCTAGTTAGAAGCCTGGATTTTTGCAGGGCTACTCCTGCACTCTGCCCATTGTAACACTGTCTCTCTGACATCATAGCAATGTGATACGACCCCAATTAAAAGCATTAGAAAGAAAGAAGAGGACATCGTAAACAGTGCACAAGCGTATTTAGATCAGTAATGTAGTAAGAGTAAATCGTACTAGTAGCAGAATAGAGGGCTGCCAGCTTATTGTAGTTAAAGCCAAGAAATGCCTGCATAACAAGGTAAATAGCTTGTCTAGTATACAAGCGTACTGTAGTATGTCATTGTATCACTGATGCAGTTGTAAGTTTAATGAGGAGCACACCTACAATCAGTGATAAAACTATTGAATAAGCTGAATAAACTTTTCCAAAGCAAGGGCTTCAGTTTGGTGGGATCTACTCTCCTGGGCTCAGGAGAGTTGGAACTGTTGTGTTCCTGGCCCGGAGTGCTGCTGATCTTTGCTAAGACTGATGTCTATTTGTAATACGTTCCTTCTTGACTTATCGGTGGACCAACAGGCATATCTGGTCAATAACTATGATTGGTTAAGCAAAGGCAGCAATGCCACCCTATCTTAAATCTGCCTCGGTGGATTTTGGGGCCATGGTTGGACAGAAAAGCTGATGTTGATCTGTCTTGAGACCTTATACATAAATTGAGGTCATTATGCCTCAAATAGTGAATGGGGTGTGAATGCCTATGATTGGATTGGTTACTAATGTACCAGCCACAGTGCTGCCACCAAAATCCTTTCCTGGATGTCTGGATTATTTTACGGATCTGTTCTTAGGCTTATGATGGAGAGTTCCTTCACCTATCAGTGCTGAAGGACTTCAACTTCTGTGACCAGGAGGTCATGGCAATCGTGAGGTTATCCTAGGAAATTTTAGGCCCTACACATGCAGAAGGATAGATGGTAGCCCTTATTTTACCTCAAAGCAGCTGTCCATATGTAGAGGGAATTTCTATTATGCCTTAGCCATGACTAGATCACATCCTGGTCCAAATGAAATTGACAGCCACCCTTTTGGATTATATTGCGGTCTTGTGGGACTCCTTTTGGCCTGTGACAATAAAGTGGATAGGATGCTTTCCAGGCGATAGCTTCTGCCACTTGGGGGCTGGATGCTTGTCTTTCCTGCATCTGTGAATGACTGGGGAAGAAGTACTTATTTGAATCTAGGAGGTAGTCCACACTATTGGGGGAGTGGGGATGCCAATAGTTTGAAAGAGGGCTGAGAAAGAGGGGCCGGGGTCAGGAGGCAAAATGTTTCAGGCAGGAAGACCCAGGTTTCAGGAATGACAGCAGGACCACATGTGAAGTTCCAATTAAACTGATTTATTGCTCATGCCTATGCATAGGAATCTACTCAACAAAGATTAGCACTATTTTAGCACTACAGTAGATAAAGAGTTAATGGAATTCAAGGGAGGTTGGATTTAATTTGTGGTACATAGAATCTATAGGTGGATTTCTGTTTTGACTCCGCTCCCTTATTCTGCCACTCCTTCTCTTACACCAGTTTTTTGAAATAGTTTTTTCTAACCCTAGTTAGAATTCAATTAGCTCTCCCTAGAACAGCCTTCTACAAACAGGTTAAAATAAAGCTTTTTCATATAATGTTTGAGGATTGACACCTTTGATAGCTATGTTTGTTTATATTTGTTTTTCTATTATAATGTTTTTACTTTGAAAGATTTAGTCATATATATGTATATCCGTGCACCACTATTAGATCTCTTAATTGGATTGAAGTGAGATATAAATGAAATAAATGGATAAACACTAACATAGTGGTACATTTAGCCTCTTGGTCTCTAAAGCATAATCGTCATTCTGATAAAGAAGTCACGTTTGGATTCCTTAGAGAAGCCCATCGATTACAAATTCAGCCTTCCTACAACTTGGTATCTTTCAGAAATGTTTTGATTAAAGGTTCGAATTCTCAGTCAGTTTGCAAAACTGGAGTGATAATTAACACATGTAAAGGGCATCAGGTTAGGAAAGGCTGGATTAAACGACGCCCTGAACCGTATTTGCAGTTGTGTTAGTAGTGCAGAAGTGAGAAATCTCAGTCCAGCTTTAAATGCCAATCTTGGAGAATGCAGTTGGAAATAAAGATTTCTACTTGCTGCAAATTAAAGATAATTGAATACGTACTCCCAATTATATTGCTGCAATGTCAAACCATTTTTAGCCTCAGTAAAAATTGGAAGGAGGAAGTAATGGGTGAACAGTAGAGGAATAAAGGTAGGTTAGAATATATGTAGGGAATCTGAAATGACTCCGGTTCAGATACTGAAAATAATAATAGGAGGAAATGGCTCCGTGGCTATTTTGTGTTTTTTCTCCCCTGCCCCAGTTAATACCGGAAGATGCCATCCGATGCAAGAGGTAGGTGGGTGGCTAGAAGGAGTACATTTCAAGCTGCTAACCAAAATGGAAACATCCTGTCTGGTTCCTGATCTAATGGCTGAGATAATTGAAGGTGGTGGTGGTGGTTTTTTTTTTAAACTGTAGTCCTTTTCTCTTTACTGCAAGTAATAAAACCTGGTACTTTTCAGGATAAACTTGGCTCATAGACTCTGAATTGACAAAAGCTTCAAGTGCCTTTGTGCTGAGGCAATAGATTTCTGAGACATTTCTGTGCCTTCTATGTTTTCTAAGGGCTTGGACAAAGTTTTCTGATGTGCATAATTGTTTGCTGTCTGTTTCAGGACTTGGTTGCCAGGAACAAAGAATTCAACTTCATCCTCTTTAAACAGAACTGCTTCTAATGATAAGAATGTGGGCAAACATAAGCCAACACCACCACCTGCTGGTCAGGGCACATCAGCACATCAGCAGAAAAATACTCTGGCAACACAGAGAGGTACATAGCCTGTGGTCACAGCACAAATGCCCCATGTGCCGTACCAAAACCTGGATTTTGCAATGTCTCAATGAGAAAAGTCATACTTCCCAGAAATATTAGATAATACATGTAACTGGGAGTGATCAGGCTAATGTTTTTTTTCCCCAAGATTTATACAGTGATTTTAGTTTTCAAAACATAGAGCATTATTTTACAATTCAAAGATCATAATTCTGTAAGATCAATCAGAATGATCTACATTGCAAATGGAGTATCAGAGGGCTGCAAAGGGTAGCTTCACTAAGCACACCTAGTAAGTTCTTGGTGGGGTTCTTCCACCCCTTAGAGCAGGGGTCTCCAAACTTGGCAACTTTTAAGACTTGTAGACTTCAACTCTGCTGGCTGAGGAATTCTGGGAGTTGAAGTCTACAAGTCTTAAAAGTTGTCAAGTTTGGAGACCTCTGTCTTAGAGAATTAGAACTATGTTTCCATTTCATCATTTCCCCCTAATGCTTTCCAATGTTTGTTTTTTTTTAACTTCAGCTTCCATAATTTCCAGGGGCTTTTGTCAGCACACAGCAGCTTTTGTTGGTGTGACTTCTGAGATTGCGCTGATTTCTAACTGCCATAACAATTGGCTAGCAGAACCACAGTGATCGGAATAGTTAATATTCCACATCTGGAGAAGTTAGGGAAGTCACACTAAGCGTTAACTACTTTAAAAATTGTAGCTTATTCCAAAACAGATTTGGGGCCTGCCTTGTACAAGGAATGAAAAATTACATCATTGGTAAGCCCATTGAGAAAGGGACAATGACCACTTAAGCATGACCACTATGTTATTATTGTGAATGAATCCATACCAAAATGGAAGATCGTGTTCAATTGCCAGGAAATATGAAACCCTAGAGCAGAAGGACAGCTGTAGTTAGAAATAGGCCTTAGGCCGCTGGAGGGATTTCAGGTATTCTGCATAGATTACATGTTAGGTTTTTTTGAGTCCAAACAAATATGTAAGATGTCTTTTCTTACTCCAGATGCCTCTAGAGCTGCCACAGTTTTAAAGGCCAAGGTTTCAAGCTCCAACCCTTCTGTGAAGGTGACACCTGCCTTAAAGCCTCCCAAACACTCCACCTCCAAATCACAATCTGAGCAAAATCTCAGAGAGAGGAATGCATCTATGAACAGCAGGTTTGCGACAAAGAAAATTTCAGACCCCAGCAAGCCCCAAATTCAAGCCAAGGGGGCTGGTGGGAGTCTGCATCCAACCACTCCTCCGAGAGCCCCTGCTGCTGCTTCCAAAGCTCTGCCTCCTTCAGGCAAGAAGCTTCTGAAGAAAGATACTCTTTCCAGTCGTGAGCAGGTGTTGCCCCAAAAGAAGCCTCAAGAGACAATTGCCAAGGACAGTGGCAAGAAAACCACCAAGGAAGCAGAGGGCGCTTCCAACAAGGATGCGAAGCTTCTAGAAAAGCTGGAATCTGCAGCAGCTAAAGAAACTGTTGACCAGCCGCTCTCCCAGGAGACTGAAGACTGCTGCGTAACAGTAGTAGGGACGGAGCCGACGGAACCAGGAGATTCAGAAGAAGGCAGAGCTGAACAGACAAACATTAACGCTTCAGAAGGGCTTCCTCCCGCATTTCTTGAAGCACCTCTGATCTGCCCTGGAGCACCAGATATCAGTATATCCTCTGTTAGTGAGATACCTCCCTTGACTACGCTTGATGTCCTGGAGGTACATTGTGAAAATGGCGATGAAACACATAATTTAGAGCCAGCGCTCCCTTATGAAACATCTCTTCCCGTTCAGCTGGAGCTCTCTCACCCAACTTCCCCAGCAGAAATCTTGCGGCAAGAAGAAGAAGAAGGCATGGCCTCTGAGCATCTCAGAAAACAAACCCCTCATTTGGATGCTCCAGTGGCTATTGAGCAGCCCCATTTCTTGCACAACCCCGACACGTCTTCTCTTGATGTGTGTCGTATTTCAACTCCATCCCTTCCAGCTGAGGATTCTCAGATTTTAATAAATGAGCTGGAGAGATCTCCTTCTTCCGAGTCCTTGACTTTAGATTCTGAATTGCTTGAAGAGACTCAAACTATAAAGCTAGTAGTTCTGCCAGAGCCACAGGAAGACCCCAGTCTTTCAGCAGAGCAGTCTCTCTCAGCTAGCCAGTTTGATCCTACCTTAAAAACTGTGACAGAGTCTCTAGCAGCAGGCCACAATGACAGCACTGAATTGGAAGTGGTGAACAAAATGTTGAATTTGTGTCAGAACTCAGAGGAAGAACTGCAAAAGGAAGTGGTATCTCTAGAGGTAGGAAATGAAAGACTGAAGAGCCCCCTAGATCTTGCAACTAAATATAGTGAGCTTGCACAGAAAGTAGTCCCTTCTCAGCAGGTGGAGGATGGGCCTTGTGCTCCTACTCATGCTGAAAATGAGCTAATGGAAGTTCTGCAAGTAGCAGATCATTTAATAATGGGAGCAGCTACTCAGTACCAAACCCGTCTCCCTGTGTTTGTAGCAGCAACCTCAATCCCGACACAATTGTCTGGAGAGCCTTTTGCCGGCTATGATGACCAGTCTAGCAGCTTAGACGAATATCCCACCATTGGAGAACTTGAGGATGATGCAGTCATTCCAGAAGAATGCACGAGTAACATGAAGCAGGAAGAGGCCAATCAATACGAAGCTCCAGACTCCTTAGTTCACCCTTCAGGGGAGCTCTCACCAAATAGTGGTACTGCTCAGCTGTCAGTGCCCAAACCTCAGAGCTTGCCTTTGAAGAGCTTGGAGTTGTTACAAGAATACCCAATTGAGTTGACTGAAATGCCAGAGTTGCTGTTAAGTAGCACGGGGCTGAAAGCTCTCTCCCCAGAGAAGGGAGGCTCCTCTTCCAAATCCAGCACCTTAAGTGGGCCTGATCTGGCAGGTAAGAGCAGCAGTGAAACTAGCACGCCTGAAGAGCTGCGGGAGTATGACAGTAGCTCTGGAGTTGAGTCCAAGTCAGATGAGAAACTCGAACAAACTTGTCATCAGCTCCTGAGTCCCTTGGAGGACCTCCCTGGGGAACTTGATCTCGGCATCCACATGGAAAAGGGAGATGATGAAGCGGAGACCCTGCCAGCAGATGAAGTCCTTGGAGATCCACCTACTGAGCCCACTGTATCCTCCGAGGAAGAAGCCGAACTGGATGCGGATCTTCTGAAGGAAGCAGGCTTTCCCAAAACGGTATGCCTCTTGACCTCTCCTCTCCCAGCCAAGTCACATTTGCCCCATTCAGTAGAGGAGTCTGATGAACCAGGTTCTGGGGATGCCGGCACAGAAACCCCAGCCTCGACCAACTCTGCAGCTTCGTGTGATGTCTTTGGTGCCTTCCATCTCCATTCAACTGACAGCTGTGGCAAAAGCCCAGGCCTCTCTTCCCTGGACAGCGAAGAGCACTCCACTGAGGGCACTAAGGAGACCTGCAGCAAGATCCCCATAGATTGGGAGCAACACTTGCACCTCACCCCAACACCCTTGAATACTGGAGGGCACGAAGAAGAATCGTCACAGCCTTTCTCTGCTGCTCATAGTCTGACTGCAGGTAATGTATAGAAATCCTGCCCTGTCTGTGTTGGATGGGCCAACCTATGGTATGTTAATGTGCAATAGTATCCTGTAGGGAATGGAGGTGGTTCCCTTCCTCCTTGTGTATCTGTTCCATCTGTGTCTCTATAGCCAAATGGGCATTTTCTTGTTTTTGTGTGTCTTAAAATCTTTTCTCTCAACTTCTGACAGACTTCTTTTGGAAAAGTTGTGTATATTTTAGTGCTTTTCTTAGTGGTGGTGGTGGTGGTAATGATGGTGGGAATAAACTTCTTAGCCTTTCAATATGTAAAATAAAGCATCACTTTGTCTATCTGATGTGGCCTGTATTGTTTTTCCAGAGAATCTGTCTTCTCCACCTATCAGTCCATACCACTTGCAGTTTTTAACTTGGAAAGAAGGGTGCCAAATAAATGTAGCTGTAATGGTTGGTTTCTGAAGCCCCACCAGGATGTTGTGGGTATAAGAAAGAAAATAACAAATAGCATCTAGAATGCAAACAGAAATTATGGGGTTTGCTCTATATGAGCTGGACAAACACGAGTGGCCTATGCGAGAAGCAAACTTTATTTGGAATATATGAATAAGTATCAGGAAAATTTGATCCATCAGAATTGCCTGAGGTCCTCATCCTGTTCTGCAGCCGTGAGCTCCTGGGGGATGTCATCTTTAATTATCCTTTGGTAAAGGTGTCTTTTGCAATTTCTTCATGGCATTGGATTTTGCATCTTTTTGGTGCATTGGGTTCCGAGAACATATAGAGAGAGCAGAGCAGGGACTAAACAGCACAATAGTGCTAAGAATTCCACAAAATGCTTGGACTGTTAGATGTTTTATGGGGCTCACAATTAATTTAATCCAAGTTGTCCAGCAGTCTGGACCTGCCTTTCCTCTGGAATCGTGTGTTTCTGTGTTTAGGCAAATATCCTAACCTTGGGTAGATTCATTAACATACTAAGCCAAAACCAAACATGCTATATACTGAATTTTAAGATAACACAAACCCAGCCATAAAAAGCACATTCATTGTCTATACCCTAGAAATCAGGGCTTAGTGCATTGGCACTATAACTGCAATGGAGTGCATTTCTTGCAAATCTGAGAAGAATCTCCTTTTTTTCTTCTTCTTTAAAACCTAGCCTCTTTCCACTTTCCCTTTTCTTTTTTGTTCTTGTCTGTCACTTCCTTTCTGTCTGTTGTGACCACTACCAATCCTGAGGGCCATCCTTTCCAACCCAAGCTCCTTGCCCTATTTGTAGGTGACAATGGGGCTGGCTTGCCCTTCCCCTGGGATCCATGTCCATCAGAGATCCTCTCCACTATCTATGAAGTAGAAAGTGGTGCTGAAACACCTGGCCCAGATGAAGAGGATGGGAGCTGTTGCTTGCGTGCCGCCTCCCGAGAACAGGCTCTTCAGCTAGGAAACATCCAGGCTACAGTCGTACAGCAGCTAATCAGCCGGGCCCTGCTCTTCCCAACAGAAGCGCCCCCTGGGGCTATCAGTGGGAAGGGGGCCATGAACAGCGAAGCCGAGATTGGCAAATGGACAGAACTGATCTCCCCTTTGGAAGAATCTCGAGCCAGCATCACTTCTGTGACAAGCTTTTCCCCAGAGGACATGTCATCCCCACATGGGGACTGGACTGTGGTAGAGGTAGAATCTTTCCACTGATTATTTCCCCTCTCACAAGTTATATACATATATAAAAGGCATTTTTTTTGGAGGGGAACCACTGCTTTTCATCCAAGTGTATCTATTAAATGTCCAGGAAGGGTCAAGTATTAGCTGACTGGAGATATGGCTCTCCCCTTTGTCTTCAGCAGCTAATAGTATGAATAGTTAAGCACTTCTGAATCATGATTACTTTCGTCCCATGCTGTCTTAGGCCTTGGATTGTTTTTGGTTCAGCAGACTGACCAACCTTTTATGTTTGGGACTTACAGGGCATACACTAATTTCCAGAGGGTGAGGCCCATCTTTTATTTAGTTGTAACGTGATTGTGCCAATTACTGATATCACTGTCAAATATGATAAAAATAAAGCTTCCCCTCCCACATACTTTGATAAACACTACAATGTTCTTCATTAATGAAAGGTATCAGTAACACAAGATGCTAGTGGCCCTGATTACTGACATCTCATGGAAAGCTATCAACATTTGGTTGCCAGGCTGCCGATATTTGATTATTATTTTTTGGTCATAGTAAACTTTCAAAACCAAATTTCCTGGAAAAGCTGTTTTACCATGAGAGGTATTTTTAAAAGGAAGTAGCATCTCAAAAGTTGTGCCCACAGAATACACTTAAGATGAGAGCTAACAGATGAAGTTGTATATCATCAAACGGTCTGGATTTGCACAATATTTTTGGCACAAGGACATGGATTAATTCAAAAAGTAGCTTAAATGGGTTATGTGAATGTAGCCAGCATGGAAGAGAAATTTACAAATGAGGACATCTTAAGTGTTTTTGAATAATTGGTGTATCTACTATTTAGAATGTGGTCACTCTATGCCCCTTGTCTACTTCTATGAAGTGGACTACACAGCAACATATGCAACCTATACAGTGGCTGGAAGAGACCTTAGACTCAAAGAGAGGTGTACTTTAGCATCCTAAACAAGACTTGGTAAGAAAAGGCTGCTAAATACTCAGTTTGGGACTTCTTTTTTTCAAAGATGCAATTTGTAGACCACTTGAACTTCTATCTGAAGTGGAAAAGTTAGGGACATAGAAAACATAGAGAGTTAGGGAAAACAAAACATAGGGACCAAATTTTGTTTTGATGCAACAGATTCTTAGACTTGTGCTAGCCCAAGCTTCATGCTTACGTAGCAAGTAGCTAACTTCCTCCCCCCTGCACTTTTCCCCCCATAACCAGTGGTTAGGCCTGGCCAAGTAGAGCTGTATGTGTGTCATTGTAAGAGGCTTTCCTGACTTGATTGTGGGCCAATGCAGTGGTGGGATGAGGAACGTTTGGCACAACTCTTAAGTTGTGAATTACAATTCCAAGCAGCCTCTGACAATTTGTGTAACTGTTCAATGTTGAGACATTTTTCAGTAGCATCTAGAGCAAGGGTCTTCAAACTTGGCAAGTTTAAGACTTGTGGACTTCAACTCCCAGAATTCCTGGGCTAACATGACTGGAGGAGGAATTCTGGGAGTTGAAGTCCACAAGTCTTAAAGTTTAAAGACCCCTGATCTAGAGAGTCATAGACTGGCAGTGAAACCATGCTAGTTTTGCTCTGGCATTTGTTAGCAAGAGCAGTATGAAACTATACAGCAGCTACAGGGATGGTGTCCAGCAGCATGATTAGATAAACTGACTCCATCACACATCAATTGCTTAACGGTTCCCTTTAGCCCTGCCATATTTTTGTTCCCACATTTGAGTCTACATTAAACTGCCTAAATTCAGAGCAGAGATGATATCTAAAAGTTAAGCCCTTCTAACCTACTACCAGATAAACAATGTGAAAAAGCTTTTTCTAATTGCCAATTTTAAAAGAGGTACTGTACTCATAAAGCTAATCTTGTTGCAATACTGCTTCTCTCCTGAAAGCTGAATGTGAAATGTTTTTGAAAATGTTCATCTCGGTAACTCTGCCATCTTCCTATACCTGCTTTCTCAAATCACTTGAAGTTTAGTTCCATTAGTTAACATTGATATGGAGCCTTATTGTCTGTAACAAAGTATTGATGTGTGCAACTTTTTTTTGTTAATGTAGCAAAGTGTGATAAATTATAGATTTTTTAAAAAATAAAAATAAAATTGAGGTTATTCTGATGTCCCTCTTTGAAAATTGCTTGGTTTTTTAATAGTCAGAATGCAGTGCAAAATTAGTTACATCTTTAATGGCCCAGGACCTCTGGAGTATATTTACTTCACTAATTATTGAGAAGCTGCTCTGCAGATTAAAGTTCTGCTGCTGAATCAGAGCCTTTTTAAAAGATACAGGCCAGGGCTACTTTTGTGTGGAAAACAAATGGCTAAACTGTAATGGCTGTAACTGTGCTTTAAATTTATAAAAATTCTAGGTAGGCTTGAAGAAGTTAATCTGAATTTCCAATGCTAGGTACTCATGATTGCATGAACAAATGGAATTAGTCTTCTTCTGTGGCGGAAATCTCTCTAGCCCCTTTTCACTGAAGCTGCTGTACAATCATAACAAATGTCACTTGCAGAGCTAAAGTAGCTAATAGTTCCAATTCTTTAACTGGGATTAGTCCATGAACCAGAGTAAGGGAGAGTTTAAAAGGTTATACCAAACACACTAAACTTGATATAGCATCTCCACTTTAGCCTGCTGATAGAAGACGAGCATCTTGAACTGCAGGAGGAATGGACAGTACAAGTAGTCCTTGACTTGTGACCTTTTGAAGTTACAATGGACTCCACCCAAAGATACAACCCAGTTCTGAAGTTTCAATGTCCTGCCACGTGGCCGCATTTTGATGCTTGAGAACTTAACCCATCAGTTTTTAGCCTTCCGTATGTATAAATTGTAAAATAGATGATATTCATATGTAGCTTGCAAAACTTAAGTATTTTTGCAAGTTCTGCTACTAATCCTGTGCTCTATTTCCAAAATGTATTCTTTAAAACAAGGGTCATCAATCTTTTGGACCTCAGGAACCACCAAACTCATTAATTTTAAATCCCGTGGACCAGAGACCCTGGGAAAATCCCCCCAAAGGTCTGTAGGAAATTTCCCCGTCCCATTTTCCTACCGATCAGTCATTATTTGGGATCGCAGGATATTGTCTCCAGCTCTGTTCTGGGGGTGGGGGGAGAGAGAGAGACAGACAGACAGACAGACAGACTGAGACTTTTGGCTTCATGCAAGGAAAGCAGCAGAAGTCTGTCTTTCTCTCCCCTAAACTCTGCCAGAAATGAGTCTTTGTGAGACTTGTCATGCCAGTGTAGCCTCTTGGAGCAGGATGCCTTGCAGGGTCCAAAGACTCATTTCTGGCAGAGCTTGGGGAAGAGAAAGACTTTTGCTGCTTTCCTTGTGTAAAGCCAAAAGTAGCAGCGGAAAGAAGCAACCCAGGCGCGTGGGGCAAGTTCCTCTCCTCTGCCCTCTTCCCCCTCCCCTCTTGTTCACAATGCAAGTGACGCAAGCCTTGCTTTCCTGCAGGCCATGTGGGCAACGCAACCTTGTGTTCCTGCATAGCCTGGATTAATTGCTTTGGGGGTGACATTTCTCTGCGGACCACCAAAATTTTCTAGTGGACCACCAGTGGTGCCTGGCCCACTGGTTGGCAACCCCTGCTTTAAAACATGTAATATACTACGCATGCTTACTACATAGCCTTTTAGTCAATTGATATTCTCAGGGAAAAGCTCTCCATAGCAAAATAGGAAGTTGTATCATGTTTCCTTATTCCCTGCTTTTTTTCCTCACTAAAATCAAGATTGAGCACTGTTAATTCTGAGCTGAGATACTCAAAGTTCGGTTCAGAAAGATTACATCTCTAGTCTGTGAATTACAAGTCAGTGAATCCTCTTATGTAAGGCACAAAGAATTGTATAACCAAAAAGTTTATTCCACTCCACCAAGGGGTCATTATTACCCAAGGTACTGTTTGAACACTAGAAGGCAATTTTTCAAGATGGCTGCAAACACAACCTTACACCTGAAGCTGATCTCCTATAAAAGCTTAACAGGCATATGAAACGAGTTGGCAGCTCGAAGGACCAATTTGAGAAATGAATTATATGTCTGAAGTGGAGTTGACCTTTGGAGGCACAGCAAAGGTATTATTGGAAATATTTGCAAGAGATGGCATCAGCCCTATTATATTCCATACTGAAAAATAAGAGAAATGAAAAGGAACATTAAAAAGTTCTGGATTATATTGTAGTTCTGCCCAAATCAGCATCCTATTTTTGCAGGCAAATGCTCCAACATAATTTCCCACCTCGCCCCCAACATCCAATAATGAGAAATGTTCTGCTTCCAAGTTGGAAATTCTTTTAAAGTTATTATGGGGCTAACAAGGGAGAGTCCTAGTCTCTCTGAAGTTGGCATGTTTTAGGAAAGGAAATTCCACCAATTCATTGTAGCACATGGTAAAGTAGCTCTGAACAGCATAGTCTGTCTATCATTACAATTAGATGCCCCCAAGCAATTTGGGAAGGAAATGCCCATTTTTCCCATGCCACACAGAATTATCAATTTTTGTCCTTCTCCAATTAAAAGTTGCAATGTTTTCACCTTTCCAATAGAAAAAAAAGATAACTCTTTGATCAAATTGGCTGCTTAACTGTTTCTGTAATAAGGCATAGCATGGTGCAGGGACATCTCATAGAACCTTCAAATCAATTACTATATATCCAGAATATTTTTGCTGAAATAAAAAGATACCCATAATTAACATCTAGCAAATGCCAGAAAGTGATTTTTCTTTAGATAAAAGATGGGTTTCTTAGGTGGAACCAAAGATGGACACTTAATAGGAACACCCAGATGAATAAGAGAGAAAACTAAGACTAGATCCATGTCCACCTATATAGGAATAAATTATACTAAACCTGAGATTATTTGTGTGTGTGGGGGGGCAGATAGATGGTCCCAAGGCAATTCCAGCCCTTGTTATTTGCACATGGAATACTTAACTCAGAAATTGATCTTAAGCACAGGTTGCAGTTTGTTAGGTTCATGTTCCTAAAGAGCCACATCCACTTTTGTGTAGGAAAGTGAGCTTGGAAGGCATTGTGGCTTCACTACGAGTACTCACATTCAACCAAGGTAGCCAGGATTCACATATCAAAGATGACCACCATCCAACCACCACTCCTCAAATACCTCTTTCAGCGTTACCCTGAAATCAAAATAGTTTGGATGCAATTATGCTGACCTGAGACTTAGCCAATGCCAGTGAAGTAACCTTCGTACATTTCTGAGTAGATGAACTCAAATTTAAAATTTTCTGCTAATGATTACTATGCCTTCTAAAGGTACTATAATAAAGATTGGCATACATTGTAAAGTAGCCTCTGAAAAAAAGTGGATGAAATGAGTGAAAAAAAATCAGCGTGCCCAACTCAAAATTCAGTAACAAATCTTTGGTCAAACCTATTTCATATTTTTCAAAGTTTTTTACATTATGATCTGGGCACATGATGAAACTAAAATCATAATGCGCGCGTGCGCGCACACACACACACACACATATATATATTCGTAGATTTTCACAGGTATAGGTATGTAGGTCTAGGTGTGTTCGGGTCTTTTCCCATGTAAGATTAAGAGTATCTTGGCGATGTTTTGGCGAGGTCCCACTCGCCATCCTCAGGCTGGTGCTTCGGCTTTGTGCCACACTACTTGCACTGGCACAAAGCCGAAAGCATCAGCCTGAGGATGGCGAGTGGGACCGCGCCGAAACGTCGCCAAGATACTCTTAATCTTACATGGGAAAAGACCCGAACACACCTAGACCTACACACACACACACACAATGAATTGTCATCAGCGTATGATAATCACAAGTATTACATACTAGTCTTATGTCTGAGGAAAAAAATCATGTATGTATCAACACAAAGCTGCTACCAGCTTTTCAATCTTTCATTGCAAAAGTATGCCTTAAGCTGCTTCTTAAACGTTTAAGATACACCAGTACGTATCATTTCATTTTGGCCTCACTGGTGTGTGTGTATAATATATACATATATTTCTAGTTACCTATTACAGTTACCTTTCATTTTGTCTGGAATGAGTAAGAGTGAACCAAGAGCTCCTTATCTATTACCAAAAGGAGTGAGCAAGATCAAAAGCCACTCCAGCTGCTGCTGGATCAGCCACGGTTTCCTACGCTGCATTGTGTATGATTGCTTGCACACAGCAAGTTTCTAATAGACAAAATACAAGGGGTTAAGACTTGTCAGAACTTAAAAATTTTAGTTTTTTTATTCCCAGCTCTGGACAAAAAAAATAGGGCCTAGTGCAATAGAGAGCAATGTGTAGCCAGTATGTAAGCCCCTGAGGCACTTCTGTGCTAAAACATCAAGAACCTCTGTTATCAAAGTTCAAAATATAATTTTCTAGCCTTCGTGGGTCAAAGGAAAATGTTGAGAACATAAAAATTCAGTGTGCTCATATCTGCATTCTTCCT